CGCACACACAGACGCGTCGGTAGGGCGAACCGGGCTCGACCTCCTCCTCCTTCTCCTCCTTCTTCTCCTCCTCCTTCTACTACGCCTCCTCCTCCTCCTCCTGGTCCTCCTCCTCCCCTTCCTCATCCACCATCCCGTCTCCTTATACATAAGTCATCCCTGTCGCACCCTCAGACTCGTCGGTAGGGCGGGCCGGGTCCCTCCGCCTTCCCCTTAGACATATCAGTTTAGTATTAGTATTATATGTTAAACAATATTAATGATAACACTAGTAGTGTTACTACTATTGATAATAATAGTAACACGAATAATAATATTATTAATAGCAGTAGTATTCGTAGTATCATTCGTATCCTTGTTAACCTTAATAGTACTATAGTGTTAGTACTACTGTTAATATGAATATGAATAGTAGTATCACTCGTATTGATATTATAAGTAGTAGTAGTAGTAGTAGTAGTAGTAGTAGTAGTAGTAGTAGTAGTAGTAGTAGTAGTAGTAGTAGTATATAGTATAGTAGTAGTAGTAGTAGTAGTAGTAGTAGTAGTAGTAGTAGTAGTAGTAGTAGTAGTAGTAGTAGTAGTAGTAGTAGTAGTGGTAATAGTAGTAGTAGTAGTAGTAGTAGTAGTAATAGTAGTAGTAGTAGTAATAGTAGTAGTAGTAGTAGTAGTACTAGTATGATTCGTAACAGTAATGATGATATTAGCAGTGGTATTAATATTGTCATCAGTAATACGATCACCATTGAAATTATTAGTATTATAACTAGTATCATCATTAGTATTAGTAATACTATTACTCATAATATTACGATTCGTAATACTGTGCTTAACATTACTGTTGTTAGTAATAGTATGGTTAGCACTATTAGTACCGCTGTTATAATGATTATTACGGTTATTCTCATTATTATCATCCTAATTATGAATATTACTACTACTACTACTACTACTACTACTACTACTACTACTACTACTAGTACTACTACCACTACCACTACCACTACCACTACTACTAATACTACTACTACTACTACTACTACTGCTACTACTACTACTACTACTACTACTACTTCTATTTCTACTTCTACTTCTACTACTACTACTACTACTACTAATAATAATAATACTAATACTACTACTATGATTAGGATTATGATTATGATTATGAGTATGAGTATTATCATTGTTATTACTTTCCTCCTCCTCATCATCCTCCTCCTTCTCCTTGTCCGCCTCCTCCTCCTCCTTCTCCTCCTGCTCATCCTGCTCCTGCGGCACCTCCTGCTTCTGCACATGCTCCTGCTCCTCCTCCTGCTCCTCCTCCTCCTGATCCTCCTCCTCCTCCTCATCCACCATCCCGTTTCCTTATACATAACTCCTCCCCGTCGCACCCCCAGAAGCGTCGGTATAGCGGGCCGGGCTCTTCCTCCTCTTTCTCCTCCTTCTCCTCCTCCTCCTCGCCTCCTCCTCCTCCTCCTCCTCCCTCCTCCTCCTCCTCCTCCTCCTCCTCCTCCTCATCCCCGTCCTCCTAACATCACCACCACCACCACCACCATCCTCATCATCATCATCATCATCATCATCATCAGCAGCAGCAGCAGCATCATCAGCATAATCAGCATCATCATTATAATTATCACCATCAACATCATTATCATCATCAGCAGCATCATCATCAACATCATCATCAGCAGCATCATCAGCATCATCAGCAGCAGCATCATCAGCATCATCAGCATCATCAGCAGCAGCATCAGCATAACCATCATCATCATCATCACCACCACCACCACAATCATCACATTCAGCAGCAGCATCATCATCATGAATAATGGTCATCATCATCGGCGTCATCGTCATCGTCATCATCAGGATATCATAATCATCAGCAGCAGCATTAGCAGCATCATCATCAGCATCATCAGCAGCATCATCATCGTCAGCATCATCATCATCAGCATCATCATCATGATCATCATCATCATCATCATCATCATCATCATCATCATCATCATCATCATCATCATCATCATCATCATCATCATCGATAACATCAACGTCATCATCATCGCCCTGCACCATCTGTTCTCAATCCTTCATCCCTCCCCATCCTGCCTCCTCCCCCTCCTCCCTCCTCCCCCTACTCCCTCCTCGTTTCTCCTCCTCCTCCTCCTCCTCCTCCTCCTCCTCCTCCTCCTCCTCCCCATCCCTCGCTCCCTCCTCGCCCTCCCTTGCCCTCGGCCAACGCAGGATCGACACCCAGCGAGGCTGCCCGGAGCGCCGAGACCACGTCGGCAGGACGGCCGGATCGGGGGAGAGCCGCGACCACAGTGACTGCTGCGCCCCGCTCCTCCTCATCCTCGTCCTCATCCTCATCCTCTCATCTTCTCATCCTCCTCATCCTCTCATCCTCTCATCCTCCAACCTCCATCCGCATCATCATCCTCTCATCTTCCATCCTCCTCCTGTTCCTCCTTCTGACCCTCCTCATCCTGCTCCGTCTGTTCGCCAACATCACCATCACATCATCATCCCCAGCATGGTCATTATCAA